GGGGGGGGCGGAGGGGCAGAGAGCTGCCCGAGCTCCGCGCAGGGCCGGGCCGGGCGCGCCGCGACCCGCGGATGCCGGCGGAGGTGGGAGATGCTGCGCGCCCGCAGCCCGGCCCGCGTGTCACCGCGCGCCCTCTCCCTTTTCTTGCAGGGGCCGGCGAGTCGGGGAAAAGCACCATCGTGAAACAGATGAGGATCCTGCACGTCAATGGGTTCAACTCAGAGTAAGGATCGCCGGCGCTCCGGGGCTTGTTTTTCGTTAAATGCTGGGAGCTGGTTGAGGTCGGGAAATTTCTGCCCGCATCCTCCGCTCGGGTGGCTCGGTGCTGCGTTTTGGGGAGGGAGGGGGACAGGGGAGTGAGAATAAGGAAATCGCTGCTGCTGCTGCTGCCTGTTTGTGTTTCTGTGCCTGGCCCCCTCGCTGTACCTTACACTGTTGCTACTGCAGCGCTTGACAGGCCCTGTGTAGCAACAACATGGCGACTACTTTTACATAGAAGCAAATAACTCAATATTGCATCTGTCTGCAATACAAAAATATATGTCAAGCCGCATTCAGGATGACAGCGGCTGCTGTTTTTCCGGTATTTGGCTTAGCGTAAAACTGAAACTAATTTGGCACGTTTGTTAGAAATCACCCTGATTTCTGAGGGTGCATCATTTTCTCTCTCAAGCGCCCTGTCCTGGAAATCACAATTAATCCATAGCGTTAATTTCAGATATCTGCTGACTTTCAGCTGTGCATTATTCATTTAGTGAATGTCCGCAGCATGCCGTGGAAATGAATAAAACGGGAGAATGATTTCCAGTTCCGTCAGGGGAGGCTCTGCAGATGTGGCTGCGATCCTCTGGTTTAAAAAAATGTGAGGGATGAATGGGAATTGCTCTTCGTACTGTGCGAGAAAAGGAATAAGCAGAAAGATATATTTGCCTTGCTGTTGTTTTCAGTTAGTTGGTATAGCGATTGGAAAGCAGATAAACAAACGATCAGTGGGGAAAAAAAAAAAATAGGTGCGAGTGACTGAAGTGCTTTGGGAATCAAATTCAAAGTGTTAATTTTTCTGTTTTAACGCAGAGAAAAGAAACAGAAAATACTGGATATTCGGAAAAATGTTAAAGATGCGATTGTGGTAAGAACACACTTTATACTGTTCTTAAATGCTTGGGTGTAGCGGAAATGGTCAGAATTGTGCTCTCTAAGATTGTGCAGAGAGAAATCCTATTTTGCTGATCAGATTGGATTATCTTCTATTGATCCCGCATCTTAGATTTATCCAGATTAATGTGTTTGTTTCTGTTTTATCCAATTCTAGACTATAGTTTCAGCTATGAGCACTTTAATACCCCCAGTTCCATTGGCCAACCCAGAAAACCAATTTCGAATGGACTACATCAAGAGCATAGCTCCTCTTTCTGACTTTGACTATACACAGGTAAGAAGAGAAACACAGCTTTATTCTGCATTAAGGGGGAATGCGTCTCTTAGCTTTGACTTGCTGATGCATTGTTTGCTTTGTTGGTGGCTTGTTTTCTTTTACTTTTTGGAAGATGCTTCTGAGGAGAGCTCGTGCCAGCATTACCTCTGGCTTAACTTTCCTTCAAGGCTTTGGTGGTTGCACCTGTTCTAGCGTTTGTTTTCAGCGTTAGTTTGTTGTTGCTGATTTATTTGCAGATATTTGTAAATGCTGTTCTTGTGTCCAGTTCTTCTCTTTAATATTTCTGATGCTGTTGTACCTACTGACGCTTCAGATAAGACTGTCAAAAGCTGTTTTCCTATGTGGAAATAAATGCTGGGTGTCAGTCTGCAGAGTTACGGTTCGCCTGCAGAAAAGGATATAAAAGGAAATAAAAGAATGGAGTGCCCCCAGTAGTATTTTCCATATTATTGCACTTCAGAGCGGAAATTCATGTAAACAGTGGTCGAGCAAGGTGGTTTGCTTCCTTATCTGTTTATTGTAGTTGGCCTGAGCAGTGGTTTCATTGCACGTGAGCGTTGCCATCTTTTGATATGGCATTGTAAGCAAAGGAGGGATTTCTGTATAGAGGTTACTCTTCTGAGACAGCTTAGAGGTACCATTTGGATTAACTTGAATTGATGTCTTTCATTTGCTTTTTACATTATTGTTTATGGAAAAAATGTGTAATCGATTCTGTATTTTGTGCGTGGTATGAAAGCAAGTGCACAGACATGAATATTATTGAAAATTGTATTTCTAGTAGCACGATTTAAAGTTGACCTTAGAGTTACATATATATGTATGCATGTATCAGTATGTATCAAGAGCAATTTGTTACGGATATAGTAAGGAGTACAAAAAAATCTTCATTTATTGGCTACATGATTATGAGTTCTTTGTGCTATTAGTATTACCAAAGAAGCCATTTACAATACAGTGTCTTTAGGTTATTATAGCTCCAGGGTGGAAGGAGAAGGGGAAGAGTCGTTTCTTTATTATATGACTCATATTCTCTGGTGTGTGGTTTCGCCTCTGGTAAAGCTACCACTTTGAAGGTTCAAGATAAAGAAAAAATATCAGATATCTTGTTCAGTTAGAATTTAACACAGAATGCAGATGTTAAGAAAACGACTGTAAGGTATTCCCACATGGGGCATAGTTGCTCAATTGGTTGATGCAAGTTAGTAGAAATGAGAAACTCTTTTTAGAAATGGAAGTTGAGTTTGACATGAAATATGCCTTCTGTACATATTTCGGTTCTGAGGCATTTTTGCTCATTTCATCCTTTTTTTTTTTTTGCTTTGATATGTTATTTGTTTGAGTAAAATAACTAGTGACATATATCTTTTGCAATTCTCTGTAATACTTTTTTTTTTTTTTTTCTGAGTTTCTGGGGGAGAAATAAAAGGTGGACTTCCTGTGACATTGGAGAAGCATTTTTTTTTAATTATGATTTTGAAAAATTTCTCCATTTTCAGAGAAGCCAACTATATGTGGGCCGACTGAACTAACTGTTGGATACCTCATAGAAGTGAAAAGCTTATTCTTCATGGGGGGGAAAAAAGGAATGGGGCCTCAGGGACTTGTGAAGCAAGTAGTAATTCATTTGAAATCTTGATTCAAAGTCAGTTTTGGTTTAAAGTAAAAACAAAAATAAATGATTAATACTGTTTTTTAATTAAGTAGGATTTCTGATGAAACTGATGTTATTTGAAATACGTCTTAGCAAAACAAAAAAAAAACAAAAAATAAAAAAAAAAACAGTGCAAGCTTAAAAAAGGAAGACAAATCTGATCGCGTTTTAGAAGTAAATGGCTTTTATATGTCAGTTTCATCTATTCCTCTCTGTTGTCTTTTCTGTGCCATTCATAGGTAATGTGTGTGTAAAATGTATAGAAGGGCTAGATTTTCTTTTTTAATTCCTGTTGCTTTAGCATGCTGTTTCTCTCCAGGAAGATGTGTGAGCAAGACAGATTTTTAAAAAAATGTGCTATTGTGCTTCAGGGCTTGATTCTACTCCAGTTTAAGTTAATGATAACTTAAAATAAAATTATGTTTCCAGCTGAAATAGCTTTCAACCCAAGTAGTGTTTTGGTACAAGGGCAAATGAAAAAAGAAATACTCGGATAGTAATCATCAGTCAAACAGTAAGCGTTCTGCGCTAAGCGTTGCTGATTTGGAATGAGGCCTTCTGAAGCAGAGAAACCCGTGTGGTATTTAACCGTCTTCATTCAGTACTTGCTATTCTATTATCTGTATTTAAAAGCAAGTCTAAAGGAGGAAAAGAAAGAAAAAAAAAAAAAAGCTGACTTAAGCAGAGCTCAGGTATTGCTTCAAGGATAAATGTTGGAGCGTTCTAAAACGTGATAAATGGGACCCTTCTTTCTTTGAATGAGGAAAGAGGTAATTTTAGGATTTTTAACAGTATGGATGGTGTTGAGCTGTGAAAGGTAGCTGCCTCTGTTGCTGCAATGTAAATTACAGGTGTGTTATTTTTAGGTCATTAGTCATGTAAATCTTTGTCTTAAAAATCATTGCATTTTAGTTTGAGATGTATTTTAAACATTCTGCATCAAACTTATTTGAAAATGAATGCACTGTATCACAAGTCTTTAAAGAGAGGCAGCTGATGATATGCAGTTTCATGGAAGGCGCAGTATGGCCAATACCTGTGCACTAATTCAAGTGTATTTGTGGCACATCGGGTATGCTTGGATATGCAAACTTAAATTGCATACCAATTAACTAATACGTGTTTAATTGTGGGAGTTGGCCTTTAAAATAAGTGGATTTGAAACTACTGATTTCCTGTGGGTACAGCCATATTCTAATTTAAATTCACAATGGAAGTTCCAAGAACTTGACTGAGAATGAGATTCACATTTTTTACTTTTAATCTGTATTTTGGGCTTTTGTTTGTTGGGTCTTTTAGTTGCATCGGTCTCTACAAAATGTAAGGCAAACAGCTGACTTTTGTAGTGATAAAGAAATGTTTTCCTCTTTACAACATTTTAATATTGCTTTAAGAATGTGCAAATTGCCCCCCACGGTTTTACTTTTTTAAAAAAAATTATTCCTCAATTTGTTTTAGATTTGCTACCTTATGATTTACCTAATTCATATAAAACAAAATGAAAGGTCTCTTGATTTCCATTATGATTTGTGTGGTGCTTTTTGTTACTTTTGTTAAAGGACTGGGGAATTTTTACCGAAATACGCCAAGCGATGGGTGCGGTCTACTTATATAAATAACAACATTTAAGGTTTGATATATATATGTATATTTTAAGAAGTTAATAAACATGAGTAGGTCATGTGTCCATTGTAGTTTCTTCCTTGAACTCGTAAAAGGAGTCAAGATAATTTTTCTTCTGATTACTACTTAGCACCGTGTTCCAGAGTGGAATCAGCAGAAAGGCTTTAAAACTGAAATGGAAGCACGCACAGCACATCGGGAAAGATTTTTTTGTTGTTATTTTTGGCAAAGTGTTGATTGATAGTTACTAAAGTTAACAGGAATTGACCTGTGCCATTTTTAATCCTTTATTGATGGGGATTTATTTTGTCCTTAGTGGAACAGAGTGAACATATTAAGGGCATATTATGCTGGTAGCTGTGGAAAAACATGGTGTGTTATGTAAGCGCGTGTGTATTCAAGTTCAGTTGTCTTCACTGAAGTATTTGAATTTTGTGAGTGCAAGGCATTTGTATGGTGCTTAAGACCTTTAACTTTGTATTCTTTCAAATCAGGTTCATGTGGTCAGTTTGATGTATGTATCTAGCAGGCAGTCAATTAGCTACAATCAAAGTGTGTACTCTAACGTTTGCCTATATGAACTAGCCACCAGTGAATGTGAATCACTTGCTTAGTAGAAAACATGCAGATACTTCATCTGTTTATTTGGGGTGTGGGGAGACTTGTCAAAGGACTCATTTTCCTTTGCTAAGAATGTTTCTAGGAAGAATATTTTAACAAAATATATTGTTAAACCTTCATGAAACACTGAATTGTGCAAATGTAGTCCCTTGTGCTCATTTTAGATTGCTGGTTTTAAAAGTAATATGTAAAGCTATCTCATCAATCAGGCAAACTCAGCTTTCAAAAGTTAGATGTTAATATGGAGGCATTGACAGGGAAAGTGCTTCAGATTCAGCTGGCCTGTGGTTTGCTCTGCGTTTTTAGATACAATCATTTGAGTTCATTTTCATGACTTGAATTTTCTTCCACGTTTTCTTAATAAAAACGAGGATGTCGTTTCTGTAATGTAAAAACAGGAGAAAGAAATAAAATGATGGTCATTATTGGAAGTTGCATAGACTTTCCTTAGGCATTCCTTCTTGGATGTAGCATTCAAATTCATACTGACGCTAGTGCATGATGACTGCTGGTTTACACAGAACATGTCACTGTGTTTGAAGAAACTGGAGATTTTGCTGAAGTGTGTTTCTAGGTACCAGAAAATCTTGCCACTAAATATTAAACAAAAGATGAAAAATGTGATAAATGAGGTTCATATATGGTTAAACTTCCTTCATTTGCACAGTTAATGCTGTGACTTCAATATGCTATTTGGTCACAACGTGTTTAAGTTTCCCTGTAATATGTACTTCATGGAGCCCAAAGGAGTTAGAACACACATCATCTTACCTCATTTTTGGTTTTCAAATAACTTGCAGTATTTCCGTGTTTCTCGGGAGTATGAAAATATACCATGCTTTACATAAAAATGTATAAAAAACAGAATGCAGTGAATATTGCCACCAGTGGCTTCATTTGATTTTTCTTTTTAGTTAGGTTTTTACTTCAGGGCTTTGTTTATCATTTAGGGTAGGATGAACAGCCACAAGTTTTTATAGCAACCTGTGATGGTTAACATTACTGTAGTTTGAATTCCAAATTAACTTCTAAGAATCAAGTAGATTTTTAAACAGTGTCATTTGCCTTTTTCTTGGTCTCAGTTGCGTGCTGGTGGTTC